GGCTCGCGCTCCGGCTTCTGGTCCGGAGGCACGTACTGGTGGTACTTGAGCTTCTTCACCTTGGGCTTGCTGTCCTTCGCCTTCTTACTGCGCTGGCTGGGGCGCTCGGGGCCCAGCTTGCCCTGGGGCTGCTGCAGGGGCGCGAGGGAGGAGCGGGAGTGAGGAGGAGGAGGAGGGAGAGGGACAGAGAGAGGGAGAGGGTGCATGAGTGAGGAGGAGGAGGACGGAGAGGGGGAAAGGCCAGGGAGAGGAGATGGGAAGGCGGGGGGGAGAGAGAGGGAGAGGATGCGTGAGTGAGGAGGAGAAGGCCGGAGAGCGAGAGGGAGGGAGAGAAGGCCAGGGAGAGGAAGAAGATGGGGTAGTGAGGAAGAGCACCAGGCAGAGGGAGTGAGGAAGGGGGAACAAGAACAGGGGAAAAGACAGAGGTTTAGAGGGGGTGAGAGGGAGAGGGAGAATGAAGCAAGCAGACAGTGGGAGGGTGGAGTGGTAGAGATGGCAGGGTCAAGGGTCAAGGGTCAAGGGTCAAGATCAGAGCAGTTAAAAGAACAAGAAAGCACAGAAAGAACGAAGATGAAGTACCAGGCAGGGAGAGTCAGGAAAGGACACCACAGTGACAATGGAAGTAACCAAAGGATGAAGAGGAGCAAAAGAAACAGCCAGCAGGTGTTCTGCCTGCTCTGTACCGACTGGTGCAGAGAGCTGTCACTCACCTTGATGAGAGAGGGGGTGGGCCGGCTCTGAGCTGGCGCTGCCGCCCCATTGGTCAGCTTCTGCTGGGGGGCTGGTGGTTCCGGGGTGGGCGGGGCCAGAGAAAGAGACTGTGGAGATGTGATTGGTTAAAGCCGAGGTGAGCACATTTGCGCCCGCCCCCCAGATTCCCACCTGGACATCATGGACAAGACGGCGAGTGGGCGGTGTGTGGAGAGGCAGCAGGAGGACGGCGCGCGCCGAGGGCTGCTGTACCTGTGCGGGCGAAGGCGTGCTGCTCTGCGCCTGCGTGTCCATCAGGGGCGAGGGCTGGGGGACGGTGCTGGCAGGGGACCCCCGGCTGCCAGGCTGGTCGGGGGACAGGGCGTCGCTGCTGTCCTCGTCGAAGGACGAGCTCTCGCCCGCCACCTTCGGGAACTCCGTCTCTAGAAGAGCGAGGCAAGGAGAACGGGGAGATAAGCCATCGGCACCTTCCGCGTCTCGATAGGACAATGTATCCCGACCTTAGTAACCTCTCTCGGGGGAGGTTATCCTATCTGAGGCTGCAGATATCAGTGGTATCAGATTATCCTATCAAAGTCCCTGTTGTTAAGATTACAATTCTGACTGTGGGATACGACTGATTCTCACAGTGAGCGAGGCACCAGAGTCTCACTGATGAAGACCTGCAGGGATCAGTGAGGAAGGCTCTGTGTTACTGTGACAGACCGACTGGGGTTCACTGCCCCCCTCACTGATGAAGACCTGCAGGGATCGTGAGGAAGGCTCTGTGTTACTGTGACAGTCAGACTGGGGATTACTGCCCCCCTCACTGATGAAGACCTGCAGGGATCGGTGAGGAAGGCTCTGTGTTACTGTGACAGCCAGACTGGGGTTCACTGCCCCCCTCACTGATGAAGACCTGCAGGGATCGGTGAGGAAGGCTC